CCTTGGGTTGGAGTTTTCCTTCTAGTACTTTCTATACGGCTGAGTTTGTTAATAAGTATTAACTTGGTTTTATCAGGAAATGTCTTGTTTTTCCATCAAAGGTGATTGAAAACTTTGCTAGGTAGAGTAGTCTGGGCTTACATCCATGGTCTCTTAGTGTCTGCAGCACATCTATCCGGGACCTTCTGGCTTTCATGGTTTCCAGTGAGAAGTTGGGTATAATTCTGGTAGGTCTGTCTTTGTATGTTACTTGGCCTTTTTCCTTTGCAGCTCTTAATATTCTTTCTTTATTTTGTATGTTTTTTGTTTTGATTATTATATGGCAACGGGACTTTTTTTGTGCAATTTATTTGGTGTTCTTTAAGTCTTGTACCTTTGTAGGCATATCCTTCCTCAGATTGGGAAAGTTTTCTTCTATCATTTTGTTGAATATATTTTCTGTGCCTTTGAGTTGGAGTTCTTCTCCTTCTTCTATCCCAATTTTTCTTGGGTTTGGTCTTTTCATGGTGTCCCAGACTTCCTAGTTGCTTTGCTTTAACATTTTGTTGGATTTATCATTTTCTTTGACCAATGAAACTATTTTCTTTGTAGTATCTTCAACATTTGAGAGTCTCTCTTCCATCTCTTATATTCTGTTGGTTATGATAGCATTTGGTAGTTCCTGTTCATTTATACAGATTTTCTATTTTTAGAATTCCCTTGGTTTGTGTGTTATTGCCTTTATTTCAGTCTTGAATTGTTTTCTTCAACTGTTTGATTGCTTTTTTTTCTTATTTTTCTTGAGAAATTTATTGATTTCTTCCATTTTTTGTTTGTCTTTTCCTCTATTTCTTTAAGGGAATTTTTCATTTCTTCTGTAAGGGTCTCTATCATCTTCATAAAGTTATATTTAAAATCATCTTCTTCTGCTTTTTCTAGGTTAGGATGATCAGTTCTCCCTGTTGTATGAACACTGGATTCTGGTGTTACCGAGTTGCTCTTTAGATTGTTGAATGAATTTTTGCACTGGCTCCTACCCACCTCTTTCTCCAATTGGTGCTGGTAGTGTCTTTACCTCTTGGTCCAATACTTGCCATTGCTGTCTGTGTCTTAGGGAGCTGCTCTTAGTCTTGTCTGTGCAGTTGGTGTCTCTGTCTCAGGGAACCACTGAGGTCTCTCTTGGCCAGCTCTCTTAATTCACTCTGTGCAGCTGCAGCCTGTACTTTGGAGTTCCTCTGAAGGCGTAGGGAATGGGTGGGTTTGGGGGCAGAGTGGGCCTTGTAGCTTCAATGGAGGAGGGCAGTTAGAGCAGACTACCTGCAAGAAGCTTGCCTGCTGGCCTACTAGTGAAACTGAGACAGGTAGCCAAGGGGCCCGGAGTTTTGCCCTGGTACTAATGGCCTAGAGAGTGGGGTGCCCAACTGGCTGGCTGATCACTCACTTCTTGATCCACTCTGTGCAGCTGCAGCCTGTGCTTCAGAGTTCCTCTGAGGTCGCAGGGGACGGGTAGGTTTGGGGGAAGAGTGGGTCTTATAGCTTATAGGATCCGACCGATTGGGGGGCATTGTTGGAGCAGCCTACCTGCAAGAAACTTGCATGCTGGCTGGTTAGTGAAGCTGAGGGAGGTGGAAGAGGGTCTGGGATTTTGCCCTGAAGATTTTTAATTTTTATCACAATAGTAATTATTATTATAAGAAGAAGACTTAAAAAGCAGAAAACTCTACCATTTGCAAAAACAGATGAACTTGGAGGATGTTACACAAAACAGGTAGAGAAAGATGGTTACCACATTGTGATAATTTATGTGCAATCAGAGAAAGTTTCAGTTTAGTCAGCACATAGTGGATGATTCCAGAGACTGAGGGCAAGAGTTCAGTTTGGTGAAACTGCAAGCAACCCTTTGAGAGCAGGGGAAGGTGCTGGAAATCGGCCACACCATACAATGACCACACTTGAGCTGCATATTTCAAAACTGCTCAGTTTAAACTTCAAATTTTCTAATGGCAAAGAACAGCGAACAGCAGCAGAAACCAATCAGTCCCTACAAGAGCTCAAGGGTAAAAGCATTTGTGAGTGAGGATGTGGGGTGTGTCTTGGTTCACAGTCAGACTCAGGTCTTGGTGAACTTGTACTCCAGAGCTCAGGCTGTTCAATATAAATAAACACAGCTTCTATTTGTCAATAACATAACTAAGATGATAAAGGGAAGAGGTGAATATCCACAAAAATGGCACTCTGTTGCTGAAAGGACTAGCCTCCATGAAAATGACACCCTGCTGTTGGAAGGAGCAGTCTCTAGCAGTTCAGGAACTGAAGGGGAGCCAGAGTCAGAGAACTACTCAACTGACCTTTCTATCTGAGGGAGTAAAACTTAATTCTACAGGTGGAGAAAATAAAGAACACACACACACACACTCTGAGGGTCTCACTATCATCTCTTTATTTTTTCAAATATCTTTTTAAAAAGTTGTTTTTATTGAGCTACATATTTTTTCACTCCCCCCCTTTTCCTCTCCCCTTCTACTCTTCCCCAAGATCCCCATGCTCCCAATTTACTCAGGAGATCTTGTCTTTTTCTACTTCCCATGTAGATTATATCCATGTATATCTCTCTTAGGGTCCTCTTTGTTGTCTAGCTTCTCTGGAGTTGTGAATTGTAGGCTGATTTTTTTTTTTTTTGCTTTATGTCTAAAAGCCACGTATGAGTGAGTATATTTCTTTCTGTGTCTGGGTTACCTCCCTCAATATGATGTTTTCTAGATCCATCCATTTGCATGTAAAATTCAAGCTGTCGTTATTTTTTTCTTTCTGTTTCTGGGTTACATCACTCAAAATAATATTTTCTAGCTCCATCCATTTTCCTGCAAAATTCAAGCTGTCGTTATTTTTTTCTTTCTGTTTCTGGGTTACATCACTCAAAATAATATTTTCTAGCTCCATCCATTTTCATGCAAAATTCAAGATGTTGTTATTTTTTATGCTGTGTAGCACTACATTGTGTAAATGTACCACATTTTCCTTATCCATTCTTTAGTCAAGGGGCATTTAGGTTGTTTCCAGTTTCTGAATATGACAAACAAACCTGCTATGAACATAGTTGAGCACATGTCCTGTGGAAGGACTGCGCATCCTTCGGGTATATACCTAAAATGGGTATTGCTGGGTCTTGAAGTAGGATGTTTCCTAATTTTCTTAGAAATCACCATAGAGATATCCAAAGGGGCTGTACCAGCTTATATTCCTACCAGCAATGCAGAAGTGTTCCCTTTATCCCACATCTTCTCCAGCATAAGTTGTCATCAGTGGTTTTGATCTTGGCCATTCTTACAGGTGTAAGATGGAATCTCAGAGTTGTTTTGATTTGCATTTCTCTGATGATAAGGATGCTGAGCATTTCCTTAAGTGTCACTGCACCTCCTCCAGGAGGCCCCTCCCCTTCATTTCAGCTTTGATCTAATGTTCCCAGAGGTTTAAGAATGACATGGGTGTGATGGAATGTAGGGGGAGGGATTTGGTGGAGCAGAGGTCACTGGACATGTGCACCTGAAATGGTTCGTGGGACCCTGGCTGATACCTCTGTCTCTTCTGCCTCTCCGAGCTTTCATGGGGTGAACAGGCCTCCACCCCGTGTTCCTTCCACTGTGGTCACAGGACCCTGAAACCTATGAAATCAGGAGCCAAAAGTAACCTTTCTCCTTGTGAACTGTTTTCCTCGGGCATTTGGTGACAGAGACAGGCACATTCTTCCAGCTGTCCAGACCCTACTGGGGCATGTTCTGAGCAGACCACCCTTGGGAGTCTGTTAGCATGAACCCCAGTCAAGACTCTGCCTCTCTCAAAGGCTCTTGTTTCTTTTTTTCCATCAATAAGAAATTTACTTATTTTTTAAGAATCCAAATGCTGGCATTGTCCAGAAAATTGTGACCGTTTTATTTATAACTGCTATGAAGATGAACTGTTGAAATGTGTTCATGCAAACTTTCTGCTTGCATTAATGCTTTGCATAGTGCGTTTATAGTAAAAAGTCACACACAATGAAAATGAACAAACCACCAGTACCTGATTTCTGTTCCCTATTTTTCCACTCGCAAACATATATTTAGGTACCTTCTGATGCCATGGAAAAAAAAACCAAACATTCAGAACTACTGATAACAGGAAGTAGAGGAAAAAAATTGAAAATGTAATGTTTCCCCTCATAATGCACTCTTTTTTTGTTTTGTTTTGTTTTTATTTTGGTTTTGGTTTTTTGTTTGTTTGTTTGTTTGTTTTGTTTTGTTTTTTGAGACAGGGTTTCTCTGCTGCTTTGAAGCCTGTCCTGGAACAAGCTCTTGTAGACCAGGCTGGCCTCGAACTCACAGAGATCCTCCTGCCTCTGCCTCTGCCTCCCGAGTGCTGGGATTAAAGGCATGCGCCACCACTCTTAAGAGCATTTTCCACATACGCGGCGTGCTAGCTAGGTATCTTTTGGCATAATTGTTGCACGTTTGGCATGGATAGCACACAGGTTGGTATCTTCAAAAACGCCAACCAGATAGGCCTCACTTGCCTCCCGCAAAGCACCAATAGCTGCACTCTGGAAGCGCAGATCTGTTTTGAAGTCCTGAGCAAATTCTCGCACCAGACGCTGGAAGGGGAACGTGTGAATCAAAAGTTCACTGTATTTCTGATAGTGTCTGATTTCACAGAGTGCCAGTGCCAAGCCTGTCGCAATGAGGTTTCTTCACCCCTCCAGTAGAGGGCGCACTCTTCCGGGCGGCTTTTGTAGCCAGTTGTTTCCTGGGTGCTTTATCACCGGTGGATTTTTTGGCAGTCTGCTCTGTACCAGCCATGGTATGGGCACCTCCTTACTTACTCCCTCCCCTTTTCTCCTTCGGCAGGAGCTCGGCAAGCCAGAGGCGGCACTGGCCTTAGAGAACTGCAGCAGGCGGGAATGGCCGAGAACACAATTCGGCGCTTGTTTCTTACCATGCACTATAGATTAGCATCTTCCCTCTGCCCTCCCTCTGCCTCCCTCTGATCTAAGTCTTCCTGTGAGTACCACACTGTAGGCCAACTTCTGCCTCCGAGCGATTGCGCACACTCTTCCCCAGTCCATCTCCTTGAAGCATCTTCCTCCACAGCCTCAAGGAGGCGCAACCTCTCGCCCTGAGAGCTTTCCAGGCATCCTGTCCCTGTCACCAGCTCCTCTCTTGTCTGCACACTCACATCTCCTGTTGACAAGTCCCAGTTCACTGCATATTTTTATTCCTGTTCTCATCCTGTTCATCAATCTTTGGTAACAGAAACGGGAGTGGTTCTGTGTCCTGAGGCAAGCCGGGCACCCATGAAAATGGTCCATATGTAGTAATAATCACTTGTGCACATGGCCTGAGCTGCATGACAAGCACATTGCCTACCCAGAGTAATATGCAGCTAAAGGCTGGGGTGCTCAGGTTAGGGAGAGGAGGGAGAGGTGGGGGAAGGGCTTTGAGGTGTGGAGACTCAGAAATACACTTTTCAATAAAGGGGGCTGGGAAGGCAGTGCGAGAAACTCATGACGCAGTGACTGGAGAAAACGGGGAGGAGTCCAGCAGCACATGGACCATGCAAGGCCCCTGCTGCGCTGTGATGTCTGCCCAGCTCCATCTATGGTGAAATTTCAGCATTGCTCGGGAAGCAGAGGCAGTGGGTGACGGTTGTATCAGGAAGCTCATTCTGAGGGCAGTGTCTGGAACATGGAGATAGTGGATGAAGGGAATTCTGTGACTAGGAATATTTGGGGATCAGAGATGGTCAGAATTCAGGTAGAGAAATGGGTATGGGTGACCCAAGGTGAGGAGAGGGTGGGAGAGGAGGAGAGGGGGAAAAGGGAGGGAGGCCAGGATCATGGCATGAGGGTGGAGACAGCTCACGGTAGAGACCCACCAATGGATCCGGATACAGATAAGACCAGGAAAATCATGTGATTGGCAGGAACAAGGGTTTGAAATGGGATTGGGCAGCTGACCTGTGCCCATGCTGAACCAGGCAGGCTACTCTATGGCCATTAAAAAGGAGGATCACAAAGAAAATGAGACAGATCTACTCCACTTACCTGAGAACTAACTGATGGTCATGTCTGAATAGTCCCTGTGCACTGCTGCCCTTGCTGTCTTCTTCCACGAGATCTCACTCTGAGGGAAGAGGCAAGGGCCTTCTCAGAGGACACTCTGCCAGCCACCTCACTGCCTACAGTTCCCATACTGCCCCACACCCCAGACCATTTCTAGTACTGCAGGACTGAGACACCAGGTGGTTGACGTCCTCCTTCAGGGTAGCACTCACCTGAGGACAATGAGGCAGAGCCCAAGAAGCAGGACTTTAACAGCAGCCTCTACCACAGCCACCAGAACCACTTCTGCCATCAGCCCCGATTTCCCTGCAGAAATGTGGTCAGTGCTAGCATCACGGGCTAACCACCACCCAAAGACCTTTCTCTGTTGGTAGGACTTATGGGAAGACCGCAAGAATGGGCCTGGTGTTGACCTCCTCTTGCTGCCTGCCTCTGGTCCCCGGGTCACTCACGCTGTAGATACAGGCTCAGGGAAAATTGCTGGGAGCCCAGGGCATGCTGAGCTTGGCAGGTGTACATTCCTTCATGCTTAAGATGTACAGGAAACAGCTCCAGGAGCCCAGGTTTAGACAGCTTCGAGGGGTACAGACTCAGGTTATCAAAGGTCCAGCTCAGGTTTGCAGGGGGATAGCTGTCGGTGCTACAGAGGAGGCGTAGAGACTGGCCCTCAGAGACAGGAAGACATGAGCCATTCTCTGGGGTTATGAATTCTGTAGAGAAAGGGACAGAGCCAGTGTGATGAGATTAAGAGAAGGGACCCTAAAGTCCAGAAAGGGGGACTGACGCACCAATAGGGACGAAAGGACAGGAAAACACAAACTTTTTCTAGCACCACAGCAAGAATCTAAGCTTGTTTTATTTCAGCGTGAGCTGCCTGACCATACGCCTCAAATTTGGAGAGAACTTGTGTTCCAGGCATATATTTGGAACTGATGATGAGAGAGTCAGACAAATGTGGGGGGGTGGAGAGAGAGAGAGAGAGAGAGAGAGAGAGAGAGAGAGAGAGAGAGAGAGAGAATTGAAGGCAGTGTCTCAAGTAGCCCAGACTAGCTCCAAACTCACAATGCAGCAAGAATGCCCTTGAATGACCACCATGCCCAGCTTATGTGGTCCTGGGAATGGAACCCAGCCAGGGTTTGGGGCTTGCTCAACAAGTGTTTTTTTCATCAGTTGAGCCATATTCCCTGCTTTTAGTTTATTACTCAGACACACACTTGTGGTCATAGATACAAGACCCATTCACTGTTCATTGCTGGTGGCAGAATGAACACCCTGCCCTTACTACACATTGATATTAGAAACCCACAGGACTGGATCCGTCTGTGCTGGGTACTGCAGTCATGGAGACCAAAGATCATCTCTGCTATTGACATCTTGTTCCTCTCAGAACCTCAGGGGACAAGGCCAGGCTCGGCCATCCGATGTGGACAGGACACTGATCACCTACAGTTTGGAGACTGATCGTTTGAGAACTGAGTGTGTGTCCTCATTGTCTAACCATGTAGCTGTGTCTCTGCACAAGAACCCAGAGCACAGCTTTGGGGGCATGCAGGCAGATCCATAAATGGGGAGAAGGTCCTGGATGGGGTGATTCTGCTGTGTGCATGTTACCCTGTGCCTGTGCTGGTCAAGGGGCATGTGCAGATCTGGGGGAGCGAGAGGTGGACTCTGACTGGTGCCTTCAGAGAGGATGTTCCAGTGGTTCCTCAACAAGGAGCTCCAACTCCAGGTGAGCTCAGGATGCAGAAGAATAATTCCTGTCTGAGCTGAAGAGTTGACGTATCTCCTACCCAGGAATAATTCCTGTCTGAGCTGAAGAGGAGCTGTATCTCCTACCCAGGAATAATTCCTGTCTGAGCTGAAGAGGTGCCGTATCTCCTACCCAGGAAAGCTCCTACCTGAGTCAGCTCCTTGAGAGATGGTCACAGTCAGATTCTTTGGAGCATCTAAGAGAGAATGACAGAGTGGACTCATCAACTACCCTCCATCCTTAGCAGCTGTCTAGGTGGTTATGGCAGGGGCCCACCATCCCGACACGCCCCCTTATCAGGATTTTAGGGCCCAGTATCCAGACCCTGACCCCACCCTGGGGACCACTCTGCCTTAGAAAAACAGGCAGGCTGCCCTGCCCAGCCTCACATGACACGTTGAGACGGATGGTCGTTCTTGTGGTCACACCAGCTCCAGGCAGGGTCACCTGACAAGTGAGGTTGGTGCCATGGTCCTGGGGCTGGGGGGTGACAGTCAGCACTGAGGAACCAGTGGTGTTGGTGCTCAAGAGTGACACAGAGGTGCCAGTCCAGGAGAAGGAGGGAGACCCACAGGCCCAAGGTGCAGAGCAGGTCAGATTGCTGGGACGGCCAGCCTCCAGGGTCTCCCAGATAAGGATGTGGGGGGTGTTAGTGAGGTCTGGTGAGGAGAGGGGAGAAATGGAGGATCAGGATGGGGTGAGGTTCAGCGTCACGGGAAGCCCCGGTTCTGATTCTGCTTCTCCCCGGAACCCTGATGCTCAGACCCACTGCTCCCAGGACGGAGTCCTACCCCAGACCTGCCCTGTGGCGCCCATGGCTTTCCCTGGTGGCTTCTCTGCAAGCCCCGCCTGACCTTTCACTTGCAGAGTCATCATGTTCAGCTTATAATTAAACATCTCTTTTCTTCTCTCCAGGCGAAAGAAGTATGACCCGGCGTCGTCCTTCCTGGTCTCTCTGATTTCCAGGGAACAGCTATTCTTCAGTGGTTCTCCGAGCAGGAAGAATCGGTCCCGGGTCGAATGCAGTGCTGGCCGCTTTGGGTTATTTGTGGCCACTGGGGGATCCTGCCTTGTATCGGCTCCATCCCGGAACCAGTATCCATGAACTGGGTCTGAGTCAGTCCATTTCTCCTTGCGGTAGGTGAACTTACAGGGTACATGGATACACAGGCCCTCTTGCACCACCACGTTCTTTTCCACATCCAGGCTGTAACCCTCTATGGCATCAGCCCCACCCTCTACCTCCTTCATCCCCCAGAGCAGCAGCAGCAACAGCGGCAGCATGTCAAGCTGAAGCTGCAGGGCCACCACAAGTCTGACTCTCTGGGCTCTTCTCTGAGGAACTAAGAGATGCAAGACCTGGAGGAAGCCCCACCGGAAGCGGGGGTGAGGCCAGGGCAGTGGCTGCCTTGGGAGGAGGAGCTTCAGACCCAGGCACTGCCTGGGCCACCCACCACCCAAGGCTACTTCTGGAACCCTAAGAACAACATGCCCATCATTATTCTCCCACCCTTCCTCCCTCATCCTTTCCACTGTGTGATATTTTCTGCACAGTGAAAATGGATCCCCTTTGACCACACCCCAGAGCTTTCTTTGAGACTGTGGATATCGGAGGGGATTGGAAGCTGACAAACAGTGGGGTGGCGTGTGTGCAGTATTTCGAGTGTTCAGTGGAGGAAGTCCAAGACTCTGGGGACATGATGCTGGGCAGTACTGGAACAGAAGCGTACAGCTCTGGTGTTGTATTCTCAGAGACCTGGAATGGAGACCCCCAGAACTCACATTAAATATCAAAGCTGGACGTGGGGGCATGCACCTGTCACCCTAGTTTTATGGTCAAAGTGAGGGACTCTGGGTTCAATGAGAGACTCTCTATAAAAAGCAGATGGTGGGAAGGGAAAGAGGAAGATACCTGAAGTCTACCTCTGGCCTCCGCATGCACAGGTCAGAAAATCCCACATGCAGGCCTCCACAGATATATGTGAAAGCAAAGCAAGTATGAATGCTACACACGTGGACATATACACAGGCATCTACACAATTACATACATGCATATCCTTTCATATCATCCAGCCATCACTCAATTGGTTGACTATATGAAGTATTATATTCCCACAGTAAATTTGTCAACAAAACGATTTCCCTCCAATGATCACACGCATAACCAGGTAACAACTTGTCTTACTCAGATTGAACATCCTTAATCCAGAAGTTTAAAATCTAAAATGCTTTAAAGTCTGGATCTTGTTGAGCACATTCAGATTTTGGATTTCAAAATCAAATGTGCTACCACACACACCTAGCTTATTTTCTTTAATTCTGTGGTTTATGAATGCTCTGCCTACACGTATGTCTGTGAAACATTTGTGTGCCTGATGCCCTCAGATGTCAGAAGACAACATCAGAACTTCCTGTTACTGGACCTGTGTACGGTTGCATACCACAACTCTTTGGGTGCTGGGAACCAATCCTGGCACCTCAGCAAAAGCTCTTAACCTCTGAACTATCTTTCCAACCCCTAAAGATTTATTATTTTATTTATATGCATGTGTGTATGTGTGTCATTGAATGTTATGTGTGTTGGTGGTGCCCTTGAAGGACAGAAGAGGATATCAGACCCCCACTAGAGCTGGAGTTATAGGCAGCTGTGAGCCACTCAATGTGGGTGCTGGGAATGGAACTCAGGTCCTAAGAACAGCAAACACTCTTAACTGTAGAGCCATTCATCACCCTGTGATGTTTGGATGTTGTCATCATCCAAGTCCAAAACAAATGAAGTAGGCTGGGTCTCACTGTAGGTTTTAAAATTGTAATAGAAGGGCCAGGAAAACATGCCTTTAATCCCAAAATTTAGCAGGTTGAAGAAGACAGCTCTCTGTGAGTTCAAGGTCAGTCTGATCTACACAGTGAGTTCTAGGACATCCAGGGCTATGTATAGAGACCCTGCCCCCCAAAATATAAATGTATCAGTCCACCAGAAGTACAAAGACAGAGTCCTATGTTAAATAACAACATAAGGTCCATGTACACCAGCATCATTTGATGAAGATGCTTTCTTTTTTCCACTGTATAATTTTAGCTTCTCCGCCAAAAAAATCAGGTGTCCATAAGTGTGTGAAATAATATTCAGATCTTTGATTCGATTCTATTGGTCCACCTGTCTGTTTTTAAGCCAATTCCAAGCTGTTTTCATTACTGTAGCTCTATAATAGAGCTTGATGTCAGGGATGGTGATGCCTCTGAATGCTCCTTTATTGTACAGGATTATTTAACTATTCTGGGTTTTCTGTTTTTCCATATAAAGTTGATTGTTGTTCTTTAGATTTCTGTGAAGAATTGTGTTGGGATTTTGACAGGGATTGCATTGAATCTGTACATTGCTTTTATTAGGATTGCTATTTTAATTATGTTGAGCCTACCTATCCAAGAGCATGGGAGATCTTTCTATTTCCTGATATTTTCTTCTGTTTCTTCCTTCAAACACTTAAAGTTCTTGTTGTACAAATCTTTCATTTCTTTGATTAGTGTTACTTTTTTTTTTAAATTTATTTATTTATTTATTAAACATTTCTGTCTCTTCCCCACCGCCGCCTCCCCTTTCCCTCCCCCTCCCCAACCAAGCCCCCCTCCCTCGTCAGCCCAAAAAGCAATCAGGGTTCTCTGCCCTGTGGGAAGTCCAAGGACCACCCACCTCCATCCAGGTCTAGTAAGGTGAGCATCCACGAAACTGCCTAGGCTCCCACAAAACCACTAGGTCCAGTAGAATCAAAAACCCGTTGCCATTGTTCTTGAGGTCTCAGTAGTCCTCCTTGTCCGCTATGTTCAGCGAGACCAGTTTTGACCCAGGCTT